TGTGTGTAGGTACATTTCCACTACAAGATTTCATGAGTAATACGGTTTGGATTTTGTAGGACTGTTATTTTTTTTTTTGTGTCGAAGCCAACTAAAACGACTAAGCTGCCCTTCGTAAGCTTGCAAGGCTCTTAATGGGTGAGTTCAAAAAGCCTTCGGGATTCTCTGTCGTATTACAGGACCAAAAATAACCGCCAGAGCATAATACGGTGTAGCAAGACCCGAAGGCAAAGGAGACACAGACGTAAGTTATATTGGCGTTGCTTCAAAGGCTACACGCATGGAAGTATATTGACGTTGGCCAGAGGAGATGCGAGCGTAAATTATTATTAGTACATTAGTGTTCGAGTAAAGGGAACGTACTGGAGAGAGAAGAAAGGAAATATGAAGGAAAGGGAATACAAAGGGGATGCATAAAAAAAGGCATATACAGGCGTTGGAAAAGAGGGATAGGCGGTTTAAACTTCCGCTTCAACTAAGTTGGCTGACATAAATCGACTTTGGGGCGAGAGGAACGTAGATTCCTGGTACAGCACGCGCAAACAAGCAACGATAACATGCACAACGACAGCGGCATCTCAGCATTACGCAACAGATCGGGTAGCGGCGTCCCCGCGGACTCGGAGGAGGGGTGAAGGGGGGAGGAGGCACCGCCCGAGCTCGAAGTTAAAGCTGACTTTAAACGCCAACACTTTAATCATCGGTCAACCTGACGTAAGTGCTTCAATTCCTTCGTGGAAATTATGGCTGTTGTATATCAAGTATGTATTCATCAGAGAGCGAATGGCCTTTGAACAATCCCTGTCCCTTTGAAAAGCGAGTAATGCCCCCGCCGTCGCTGTCAACTTCCGGGACAGGGTCGTCCAACCAGGCGCTGTGCACGCAACGCGATGCTCTCTTCCCCGCGCATTTCGAAACCGGCCGCTGGGGCGCGTAATGGCCAGCGCGAACGACTGCCGATCAAAATGTCCCAGCGCGGCAGACCTCCGTTAGGGGCCATTCTATCACCGGAGAACATTGCCGCCCTCTTTATCGCTAACCAATTTTTGCCTCTTTTCTCGGCATTGCCATGTTGGGGGGAAAACCGTTAAACGTCGTTATTTCGAGACCAGTCATTTACAAGCTATTTGTCGCGAAAATATGAGTGTGTAACACCCGTTACAATTTCAAACCTTGCTGCATTTTGTTCATTCTGATGTTCGGGTCGGTAGAGTTTACGCATTTCAATGCATGTATCCCAAATGTTTTTCATTGCTTCATAACAAAACGGGCGATAGAACATGTTTATTTAATCATTTCGCTGTTTACCACTTCATTTCGGGAAACTGAATTATTCCTGAATATGCGTTCAATTCAAAGCGTGAACAGTCATTCATTCTTTCATTCTGAATTAGCAGGCACTGAAATTTTACATGTCACAAAGTATTCATGGAAAATGTATAGAGTAATTTAAAAGATTATTTCGTTTAGTAAAACTTTACATATACATATAAGTGTATATGTATATATATATATATATATATATATATATATATATATATATATATATATATATATATATACATACATATATATATATTTATATATATATATACATACATATATATACATATATATATATATATATATATATATATATATATATATATATATATATATATATATATATATATATATATGACCAAGGCTCCTAACCAAACAGAAGCGAGGGGAACGGGCACGAAGACTGGGTCCTTGACCCTTTTCCCTTCGGCCCGAGAGAGAGAGAGGGAGAGAGAGAGAGAGAGAGAGAGAGAGAGAGAGAGAGAGAGAGAGAGAGAGAGAGAGAGAGAGAGAGAAGAGAGAGAGAGAGAGAGAGAGAGAGAGAGAGAGAGAGAGAGAGAGAGAGAGAGAGAGAGAGAGAGAGAGAGAGAGAGAGAGAGAGAGAGAGAGAAGAGAGAGAGAGAGAGAGAAGAGAGAGAGAGAGAAGAGAGAGAGAGAGAGAGAGAAAGAAGAGAGAGAGAGAGAGAGAAAGAGAGAGGAAAGAGAGAAAGGGAGAAAGAGAGAGAGAAAGAGAGAGAGAGAGAGAAAGAGACAGAGACAGAGAGAGAGACAGAGAGAAAGAAAGAGAGAGAGAGAGAGAGAGAGAGAGAGAGAGAGAGAAAGAGAGAGAGAAAGAGAGAGAGAGAGAGAGAGAAAGAAAGAGAGAGAGAGAGAGAAAGGGAGAAAGAGAGAGAGAAAGAGAGAGAGAGAGAGAAAGAGACAGAGACAGAGAGAGAGACAGAGAGAAAGAAAGAGAGAGAGAGAGAGAGAGAGAGAGGAAAGACCACAAGGCGAGGGGCACATACCTTGGCGAAGACGAGTGGTTTTGGTCCTGCCGTGGCGTGAGCGTGTGCATGGCGACCGTCCATCGCGCGGGCGGGGTGGCGGAGGAGGAGGAGGCAGGCGGGCGCGCCCTCTGTCTACCTGCGCCATCTAGGAGCGTCCCCCCCTCAGCCCGCGCTCGCCATCACCTCCACGGCTGCAACATAAGCGGTCAGGGCTCAGTCATAGGGAGTGGAGGAGGTTATGACACTTGAAGCTGTAGCGAATTCAAAGAATACAAAGTTATACAGGAAATACAGAGCTATAAATGCTTGATGAAGTAGGAAATGCGAGCTAATGGACTCATTGTAATACAGGAAATCATAACGGGCAGTTCATAAAAACAAGAGTGAGACAACAGAGACTTCATGATGCAGAAAATAATGGATGACAAATGCTTAATGATACAGAGACGATGATACATACTGCGAATATGTAGTAAGTCTATAATGTTAATAAAACGCGTTGAAAAAAGCGCATATGAGTACGAACCATTTTAAACGGAATATGAGTGTAACCGACCAGCGCCTACCATCCAGTTTCTTAAGAAGTTTGTGCTTGAAAACTGGGATCATGTTCATGCGTTTTTAGTTTCCGTGGCTCTTCTGTTGCTTCAGGGAACTTCCTGGCCATTCCTGAGGCTTATGTACAAAAAGGAGCAGAGCCTTCATCACGACCGGATGGCACTCAATACCTTTAGTTTTTATATCTCTTATATATCTTATTTCGTCCCCATGTTGTTGTTTTTATCCATAAACAACATAACGACCAACACATATCCATATCTTTCCCTAAATAACTCCAGATATGTTGAAATCAATAATTTCATTTCGCAATACTTTAAGGTAAAAAAAAAAATGTATGTTGCTAGATGGATGACCGTCTTCTCAACCGAAATGTTTGTTTATGTTCCCGAGCAATGAGCGATTCGGGGCTGATGGAGAGATTAGAGACGAAATAGACGCTCTCTGTGTGCAAGGGAATGGGCGAGAAAAGGCTCCCGTGGTCTGCTTTGTTGCGTCAATCATATAAGACCTTGCTTTATTTTCTATGACAGTTTAATTCGTGCCATTTATAACTGGGCTTTGTGTTCGTGGGAGACAAAAGAAAAAAAGAAAAAAAAAGACTTATGAGTAAATTCAACAAAATTTTCATCATTAGAATTTATAACATATTTAGCAGTGTTCTTAAGGTGATTTCCCACGCATGCATGACCTCCCAGGTCAATATGTAAGATCTAAGAGGCGAAGGAAGAACGGAGGGAGGGAAGGAGGGAGGGAAGGAGGGAAGGAGGGAGGGAGGGAGGGGTCGGTGTGGCCTCCCCCCGGACAAAAGACAAATGCATCGAGACAGGCGGCCGGCAGGGGCGTGTGTGTGCAAGGCAGAAGGGTTCCATTTGTTTTATTGGATTGCTGCAAAATGAGTCTGCATACATCGTCTTGCACACCAGCAAGAAAAATTCCGGACTATGCAACGTGGAAAAGAGTGCTCGTCTTTGCAAAGGATGATGGAGTTGGCTGACCTGGCGTCGAGTTCTTGTTGCAGCCGCTCTTGGGTCTGTTTACACTTGAGCTGCTGGCCGCCGACGCTCAATGCTTGCCTTGGCCTCGCTCGAGACGCGCTTACTCAGCGGGATACACTTCCCGGGCACCCACGCAAAGGTATACATATGTGTAAACATACACACACATACTGATACGCCCACACACGCACACGCACACGTGCACATCTCTCGCTCTCTGTATCAGTTTCTGTCTGTGTGACAGTGTGTGTGAGGGTGTGTGTGCGTATGAATGTGTGTGTGTGAATGTGTGTGTGTGTGTGTGTGTGTGTGTGTGTGTGTGTGTGTGTGTGTGTGTGTGTGTGTGTGTGTATGTATGTGTATGTGTGTATGTGTGTGTGTATGTGTGTGTGTGTGTGTGTGTGTGTGTGTGTGTGTGTGTGTGTGTATGTGTGTGTATGTATGTGTATGTGTGTATGTGTGTGTGTATGTGTGTGTGTGTGTGTGTGTGTGTGTGTGTGTGTGTGTGTGTGTGTGTGTGTGTGTGTGTGTGTGTGTGTGTGTGTGTCTGTCTGTCTGCCTGACTCTCTGTCTGTCTGACTGTTTGCCTGCCTGCCTGTCTGTCTGCCTGACTCTCTGTCTGAATGTCTGTCTGTCAATCTGTGTGTCTGTCTGCCTTCTCTCTCTCTCTCTCTCTCTCTCTCTCTCTCTCTCTCTCTCTCTCTCTCTCTCTCTCTCTCTCTCTCTCTCTCTCTCTCTCTCTCTCTCTCTCTCTCTCTCTCTCTCTCTCTCTCTCTCTCTCTCTCTCTCTCTCCTCTCTCTCTCTCTCTCTCTCTCTCTCCTTCTCCCTCCCTTCTCTCTCACTCTCTTTCTCTCTTTCTCCCCTTCTCTATATGTCTCCCTCTTCTCTATCTCTCTCCTCTTCTCTCTCTCTTTCCCCTTCTCTCTCTCTATCCCTCCTTCCTTCCCTTCCTCCCTCTCTCCCTCCCCCCTATCCCCCTCCCTCCTCCGCACTTGTCAAAGCAAATTTTGGAACGCTTATCAATACCCTTACTCTGTCGCTGTAGCGCAGTCACGGGAACGAGAATAAACTGGATTTGTCACCCGGGCGATGACAGAGCAAGCGATCCAGAGCGACGTCAATAAGGAAGAAATGGCGTCAAAGCCAATTTTCGGCCGGGTCCCTAGCCGGCTCCCGCGGTGTGATTCATAAATTAATCCCAGGGAATTATAAGGCGGCGGGAGGCGCAGAACCCCCACGGCACCTGTCACTTGGTCAGCGAGGAGAGCGTGCACTGGGTATGACAGTGCGAGTCGAGGTGCGGTGTGAGTGGGTATCGGTGGTATTGGGGCGGCAGTGTTATTGGTGTTGCTCATCGCGGGCATAGATAGTAATGGAAATTCCAATAGTGAACGAGGAAAGTGTAGGCTGCACTGGACCGTAATGGTTTTAATGGGGTGCATTTCGCTTGGCAAATGTTTTGATATCACCCAGGCCTTATATGTGCAGGAATGAGTGTGCAAGGAGTAGGAAAAGACGGCAAGAACTTTTACTCATTTTCTGTCCTGGCACTGGACGACGGATGGGGCCAGGGAGAGAGTGCCTGGTCGCTCATATCAAGGGCAAGGCGATGATTTACACACTGGCCAAGCGAGATGATTTAAAGGCCCGATAAGAGGAATAAGAGGAAAGTAATCCCAAAGTGTATCAGAGATAAGTCTTAAAGAAATAGATGTGAGTGGAGAAGAAGAACACAGAAAATCCTACAAAGTAAAGAAGCAGAAAGATAAGAAAGAAAGAAACTGTGATGGATATAAATCACCTTTAGGAGTACAGTGTTGTGCACGTATTTCGATCATGCTGTATAGAAGTAAATATACATATTTACCTCGGAGCGAGAAATAAGGAGTTGGAGAAAGAGGAAGAGACAGATAGTTTGGTGGATAAAAAGACAGACAGACAGCTAGCCAGACTCATACACACACATGCACATACACACACACACACACACACACACATACACACATACACGCACACACACACACACACACACACACACACACACACACACACACACACACACACACACACATACACGCACACACACACACACACACACACACAGAAAGAGAGAGAGAGAGAGAGAGAGAGAGGGAGAGAGAGAGAGAGAGAGAGAGAGAGAGAGAGAGAGAGAGAGAGAGAGAAAGAGAGAGAGAGAGAGAGAGAGAGAGAGAGAGAGAGAAAGAAAGAGAAAGAGAGAGCGAGCGAGCAATGCCAGCAGATACATGAACTACATTCGGCGCCATATGCCACGCAAATGTTACTGCGAGTGGGGTATAAGATTTATGACTCGCCGAGATAAATGCCCGCAATTCATCTTACGCCGCTGCAATAAACCTGATTATTCGTAACTAATTGAAAACATCACATTTCTCATCCACCGTGCAGCACAGACGAATCAATGAGTAAATGAATCAGCATCTTGGCCATGAATAAGCCATGGGTAGACACTCGTAAACTTCCTCCTCCTTAAGCGCCGACCTGAGGCATGAGACTCGTAAACTAAACTAAACTAGACCCTTTTCATCACAGGAAGGCGCGGCGAGAGGACAAAAACGGGAGGCAGCCATAACTTCTCTTCTACAGAAACCTGTTCCTTTGATCCTTAGGCCGAGGCTGTGTTCGCTTTGGGAGGGGATGGGGGGGAGGGGAGAGAGGGGGGAGGGTGGGAGGTGGGAGGGGAGGGAGGAGTGGAGAGAGAGGGGGAGGTTGGAGGGAGGAGGAGTGGAGAGAGAGGGAGGAGGGTGGGAGGTGGGAGGGGAGGGAGGAGTGGAGAGAGAGGGGGGAGGGTGGGAGGTGGGGGAAGAGTGGGGAGAGGGGGGGCGGAGTCTTTGGGGGAGTGGCTGGAGGGGGGAGGAGTGTGTGCCTTTAGGGGTTGGGGAGAGGAGAGGAGAGCAGAGAGGATTGGGGAGAGGGGAAGGGTTTCGAGAGGGAGTAGGGCGAGGATGGAGGGTTGGAGGAGAGAGGGGGGTGGGGAGAAGGGGGAGGCTGTCGTTGGTGGAGGGGTAAGGGTGGCGCAGGGACGGATGGGAGGAGGAGGAAGAGGTGCACGTAGGCCGACAGGCTTGCGTCAGCACTGGGGGAAATGATATATTTTTTATAAATATCTTTTGCCGAGTATTTACTCATACCTTTATGCTTTTTTATCGTGTGTTTGTATGAGTATAAGCCTAGCTGATTGTGTGAGTCCTTTACCAATTAGTAACAGAGAAACCAAAGATAGAGGAAAAGAAAGAGAGAGAGAAAGATAGATAGATAGATAGATAGATAAAGAGAGAGAGAGAGAAAGAGAGAGAGAGAGGGAGAGAGGGAGAGAGAGAGAGAGAGAGAGAGAGAGAGAGAGAGAGAGAGAGAGAGAGAGAGAGAGAGAGAGAGAGAGAGAGAGAGAATGAAATAGAGAAAGAAATAGAGAAAGAGAGACAGGTAGACAGACAAAGACACAGACAGACAGAGAGCGAGACAACCCTCCACCCCGGGCCCAAGACAAGCGGTTAAGGACCCGTCCCTTCGTTTCCCCCTGGACCCCGCACGAAGACAAGCGCTGTGTCGTGTTATGGACAAATTCGTCTTCGATTTATTGAGAGAACATTCTTCG